CGGACGAGGAGGAGGGGTGCACGCTTGTCCCCAGAAAAGTAAGGGGGGAGGGGAGAGGAGAAGAGGTGCGTACCACCACGGGATTGCAGCTGGTCGGAGGCATGCGGCTGCTGCTGGTGGTGGTGCTGGTGCTGTGGCTGATGGTGGTGGTGATGGGCATGGGCGTGGGCGTGGTGGTGATGGTGGAGGGTATCGGCGCGCTTGATGCCAGACAGCAGGACCTCCTCTTCGTCATCACCCTCCAGGCCCCCCAGCCCGGTGTCCGCCTCTGCCACGAAGTTCCCCATCACCTGCTGCTCTCCTCCCGCCACAGTGAGCGCGCCTCGCTGTCACTCTTCGATCGTTGGGGGGGGGGGGTGAGGGGTGCGTACGGCGTCGTGGTTGTACTCGCATCCCTTGCCCGCATACTTGCAGTAGCCGTAGATCTCGATGTTCCGGCACGGCCGCTGGCTCTTGGGAAGGTGCCCTGCGCACGCCACGCACACGCACGCATAAACCCGCACATGCGCACACACCACACGGACCAGTCGGTAAGACGCCGTGGGTGTCGTGTGTGGTGTGGTGTATGTCGCATGTGTCGTGTGTGTCGTGTGTGTGTCGTGTGTGTGTCGTGTGAACTGTGTTAGTGTGGGTGCGTGGGTACCAGTGAGGAGGTCGCCGGCGCCAGAGGGCGGTATGCCGCGGGAGGGCGACGCGAGGTTGTGGGAGGGCAGAGGAGGCAGGGTGCCCCCCGACGTGTGGAGGTAGTTGCACTGGTCCCCGTAGTAGCAGGAGCCCGACGCCGCCCAATAGCGGCACACGCCTCCTCCTCCTCCTCCTCCCGGTCCGCCCCTGCGGCACCACCGGAGTGCACCCACCCGCCCCACAGTGTCGTGACAGCAGCGGCAGTAAGATGCCCCCCCCCCAAAAGTTGTGTTTAAGCTCATGCGAGGTGTGGATGAGAGGGTCTAGAACATGCACGTACATGGAGGTGTGTAGTTGCATGGACGGTGTGCTGCTGTCTTAATGTGCAATCAATAAACCTTTGACCTTTTTTCCCCGCTTTTCTCTCTTTCCTTCACAGCCGGCCCACCGCACATCATGATGGGCGACGTGCTGGATTCGGACCCGCACGATGCTCCAAGCGCGGTGGCCCGCCACCGCCACCGCCAGAGCGACGATGCTCGCCAACTGCGCCGCACCCGGGAGTACGTAGAATACTGTTCCCTCTCGCTCCTCGTTTTGGGGAGGGGTGTGGAGGGCTTTACACCCCTACATCCCTGCTTACACGCAGCACTCGTGGTGCGTGATGGGTATTATGATGGGGGATTGATGGGTGTGTAGCTACCGCGCCCTCACGGCCGTGGTGCAGGAGCTGCGGCGGCAGCGGGAGCAGGCCCTGCACGACATCGCCCGGCTGGCCCTCCTGCGGGAGCGCGCCCTCGCCGCCCCTGTCCCCTTCGTGCTCCGACTCAAGCGCGATCGCGTACGTCGGGCTACCCCCCCCCCAACTATATATATATATATATAGATATATATGTATGTCTACATACACACACACCACCCCAGACCCTCCTCCCCCACCTACCTGCCCCACACCAGCCCTGCCCGGACCCTCTTTGAGAGAAATAACCCCTCCACGTGGCGTATGTGCCCTTTGGTGGATGGGCGATGGGCGATGGGTGGAGGAGCAGGCCTGCCTGGACGATAGCAGCAGCAGCAGCCATGACGGCAGCAGCGATGCCAACGCCGTCGCCCGGGGCGGTGGGCGTGGACAGGGGGACCGGGACGATGACGACGACGCAGAGCGTCCGCAGCACGATGCGGAGGAAGAGTCGTTCGCGGATGATCCAGCGGCCGGCCCCATGCTTCCCCTGCCGCGGAGGCAGTTCGTGGCGCGTCTCCCCCGCGTGGACCTCCACCGCTACGCCTATGCCTCGCGGCCGCGCGGCCCGCGACGATCCACCACCGCCACCACCACTCCTACCACGACCACTGCCACCACCTCCACTGCCATTGCCACAACCACCACCACTTTGTCGTCGCTGGCCGTGGCCTCAGGCGAGAAGGAGGCCACGCACGAAGAAGGGCGAGAGATGAGCGAGCGGGTGGCCTCCTCCAGCAACGCTTCCATCACCCACCACGACGCCGGCGACGATGACGACGACGACAACCAGATGGACGAGGTCCTCGATGGGGGCCAGGTTCCCAGCGCCGGCACCGGCACTGCCCGAGAAACCGACTCAAGCGCCGCCGCCGCCGCCGCCGCGGCGGGGCTGCAGCGCATCAAGCAGGAAGAGGCCGAACGGCCAACCGGCCACGGCGAAGGCCGCCACCACCCCCACCACCACCACCACCACCACGACGAAGACGTGCACGTGGCACCGGTGGCGGCGGGGGTCAAGCGAGAAGGCGGCGTCAAGGAGGAGTTTCCGCCGGACGAGGGCAGCCTCCCCCGCGAGGAGCCCAAGGTGCGCACCCGCATCTCCCATTGGAAGATACCCATGAGGCCCACCTGGAGGGGAGGAGCTCCTCCTCGTCGTCCGTCGTCGTCGTCGTGGTGGTGATGCTTACTCGGGCGCCAACCAACCACCCACCCATCCACCCACCCACCCACCCACCCCACCCACCCCACCCACCCCATCCATCCACCCCATCCACCCCATCCACCCATCCACCAGGCGGGAGACGTGATCCGCGGGCGGGTGTGGGACGAAGACAAGCCCTCGACGTTCAACAAGCTGTGGACGCCCGACGAGCAGCGCCGGCTGGAGCTCCTCCTCCTGGAGATCCCCGACGAGGAGGTAGCCGCGCACCGCTGGTCCAAGATCGCCCGCGCCCTGGGCAACCGCACCCCACGCCAGGTACCTGCCACCCAACCAACCACCCAACCACCCCTCGCCCACTAAATGCCGGCAATACGGCGGCGGCGGTGCGCAGGTAGCGTCGCGCGTGCAGAAGTACTTCATCAAGCTGGCGCGGGCAGGCCTCCCCGTGCCCGGGAAGCCCCCCAATCTCGACGTGTGCCTCCGCAAGCGCCGCAAGACCGCCCACCACCACCACCAGCAGCACACAGCAGCCAACCCACTCCGGGGTACCCCCGTTTTAACACCACACACTCCTCCCTTCCACTCTCACGCGCGCGCGCGCGCAATTTTAAAATTTCTACTTTGGTCTCAGGCGGGGAGCGGGCTGGAGGGAGCGGCAGCCTACTACACTCTCCCGCCCGTGCAGATGCCGGACGACGACGACGAAGAGGACGACGACGACGACGGCGACGGCGACGATGAAGACGAGGAGAAGGAGAGGAGGAGGAGGTTGGTGACGACAATGGGGAGGTGAAGGGCACCTTGGGTGCCCAGCCTGCCGCTTCGCTCGCCGAGAAGGGAGAAGGGCAGCAGCAGCAGCAGCAGCCCTACGACGACGAGGACTACCGCACGTACCGCGCGCAGGCACCCAACTACCTGGACCCGGCCTTCATGCCTTCCTAAGCTACCCTTCCCAAGCTGCCCTTCCCTTCCCTCCTCCCTCCCTCCCTCCCTCCCACTACCCTCCTA